AATGGACAGGGAAGAAACATTAAGAGATAAGATGATAGAGAAACGATGGCAGGCATTTAGGGAGATTTCAGAATCAAGGTATATTGCCTTGAGAAAGAGATGCTGGAAGTAGAATACCCTTTCTTTGGCTAGCTGTGGAAATTGAGTATGGTATCAAATTGAAAAACACAAAAGAGAGAAAAAGAGAAAGAAATGGATGGAGTGGATGAGCTCCGGCCGAAGTGTCCTACTCCACTGCCATCTTGGAAACCAGATATTTGCCCTACCTATCTTCGTATGGTCTGCGAATTTACTCCATGCTTTTGCTGTCATCTAACTCATTGATGTCAATTGAAAAAAGCTGAGCCCACAGCACAGACTCCTGCGGGACTCCACGCGTCACAACCCGCCAATCCGGCAATGATCCATTTATGCAGATTTTTTGTTTTATATTTGCGGAGTTATATTTGCTAGTTTCAAGTCAGATGAAACCTTTTCTGAATTTAGAGAATTTTGGAAAATTAACACCAAGGCATTCACTGCATCATTAGTCACCTCTTTTAAGACCCGAGGATAATGTCCATATGGATCCTGAAACTTGTCAGCCTGTAGCTCTATCAGTTTCATTAGTGCCACTTCACAAATGATTGTAATTTCACTAAATTCCTTTCTACCTTTCACCTCCTAATATACAGCTGTTACTGGAATTTTTTTGTATCTTTCGTCATGAAAACAGAAGCAGAATATTTCTTTTCATCTACCATCTCATTATCGGCTATTACTGTAGATCACCTCTCACTCTGGAGCACCAATGCTCTCTTTATTTACTCTTTGCGTTTTTGAAATATCTGTAGAAACTCTTGTTGTGCTTTTTCACATTTCCAGTTAGCTTTTACTTATACTCTTTATGTCTTCTTCTTGATTAACCTTTTTGTCATTTTCAGCCTTCCTCTATGTTCTAATCAGCCATTTGACTTGTCACTCATCTTTGTAGTTATATGCATTTTCCTTAAGTTTGATACTCTGCCTAACTTCTTTAGTTAACCATGAATAGTGAGTCCTCCCTTTAGAACTTCCCTTTATAGTAGGAATATACTTATTCTAAGTATTCTGAAGTGTCTCTTTAAATTGTCTTTCACTGTTTCTCTGTTGATCTATTTCCTAGTCTAGTATGCCAGTTCACTTCATCTAGCTCAGCTTTCTTGCCCACAACATTGTCCTTGTTGAAGTTAAAATGCTAGTGTTAGACCCAGTATTCTCGCTTTAAAACTGGATGTAAAATTCAATCATGTCATGGCCACTGCTACCTAGGGTTGCCTTAATTCCATGGTCATTAACTAATCCTGTCACATTACACTGTACAAAATCTAATATACCCTCTGGTCTGTTCCAGAACCTGTTGCTCTAAGAAACCACCTTGAATGTTGATGAATTCCTCATCCAGGCTACTATTATCAATCTGAAATTCCAGTTTTCCATTTTGTGTGTAGATTAAAGCCACCCATGATTATTATCATCCTTTCATCACAAGCACCTAGTATTTCTTCTTGTGTTTTTTTTTGTCCTAAACCTTAATGTTAAAGGTCCTGCAGGCTGCTTCCACGGTTGTCCTCCTACCTCTTATTTTCCTTATTTTCCTTATTTCTATCCAAACTAATTCTGCATCCTGATCTTCTGAAGCAAGGTCATCACTAACTATTGCATATATGTCATCTTTGATTAGCAATGCTGCCCGTCTATATTTGCCTAGCTTCCTATTCTTCTTGAAAGTCATCTATCCCTCAATATTCAGAACACAATCCTGGTCATCTTGCAGCCCCATCTAAGTAATGGCTATCAAATCATATTTACTGGAGGTCTGTGATCTGTGGTGTGCTACAAGGATCGGTGCTACATCCACTGCTTTTCGTCATTTATATAAATGATTTGGATGTAAACATAGGAGGTATGGTTAATAAGTTTACAGATGACACCAAAATTGGAGGTGTCGTGGACAGCGAAGAAGGTTACCTCGGATTATAACGGGACCTTGATCAAATGGGCCAAGGAGGGGAAGATGAAGTTTAATTTCGACAAATGTGAGGTGCTGCATGTTGGAAAAACAAATCAGGGCAGGAATTACACATTTAATGGTAAGATCCTGGGGAGTGTTGCTGCACAAAGAAACCTTGGAATGCAGGTTCATAGTTCCTTGAAAGTGGAGTCACAGGTAGATAGGACAGTGAAGAAGGCGCTTGGAATGCTTGCCTTTATTGGTCAGTGTGTTGAGTATAGGAGTTGGGAGGTCATGTTGCGACTGTACAAGACATTGGTTAGGCCACTTTTGGAATACTGCATACAATTCTTGTCTCCCTGCTATAGGAAGGATGTTGTGAAATTTGGAAGGGTTCAGAAAAGATTTACGAGGATGTTGCCGGGGTTGGAAGGTTTGAGCTGTGGGGAGAGGCTGAATAGACTGGGGCTATTTTCCCTGGAGTGTCAGAGGCTGAGGGGTGACTATATTGAGGTTTATAAAATCATGAGGGGCATGGATAAGGTAAATAGACAAGATCTTTTCCCAGGGGTGGGGGAGTCCAAAAGTAGAGGGCATAGGTTTAAGGTGAGAGGGGAAAGATATAAAAGGGACTTAAGGGACAACATTTTCATGCAGCGCATGGTCAGTGTATGGAATGAGCTGCCAGAGGAAGTGGTAGAGGCTTGTTCAATTACAACATTTAAAAGGCACTGGAAGGGTATATGAATAGGAAGGCTTTAGAGGGATAAGGGCCAAATGCTCGCAAATGGGACTAGATTAATTTTGGATATCAGGTCAGCATGGACAAGTTGGACTGAAGGGTCTGTTTGCGTGCTGTATATCGCTATGGCTCTATGACTTTGTTTACTTTCCCGTGATTGCAATGTATGCTTGGATATAGAGCCTTTACTTTTGCATTTTATTACCTTTGTAATATGATTGGTGCATTCTTATTGTGTTGCATCTCTTGAGGAAATAATTCGGTCAGAAATTTCGGTTTGAGATTTTCATAGGTTTTTACCCTTTGTTTTGACATCATTCACTTTATTTTTTAAAGCCAGAGGATGACCATGACGTTCAGGGTGAAGATGAAGCTCCAATCATTGATGCTGAAGCAGAAGAAGGAGATGCTGATGCAACAGAAGCTAAAAGGCGTGAAAAACAGGAGGAGGAGGTATAACAAGGCAAATTGTACCTGAATTATGAGGAGTGTGACTATTGGCATTAAGCTAAATGGACTCCTTGATTGCCTATACTGTGATTTAACTATCGTATAATTTTTAAACGGTTAATATACTGCAACAATGTTTACTTGCAATCCCTGAGGTCAGTATCTTTCAGTTCAATCTGAATATAATCATTGCACTGAGTTAAGGTAATTAGGTCAAATTGGTTTTCATTTCGTGGAATTGAGGTTTTTGAGATCTAAATTATTTTCAACATTCATGTTAAAATTCTGTCACCTTTCACTACCTGCCCCACACCAAATTTAAACAAAGGACTATGCTTTCATGGGATATGAGCATTGTTGGCTAGCTCAGAATTTATTGCACGTTCCTCATTGCCTTAGAGGTGGTCGTGACATGATATCTTCTTGAACTACTGCCATCCTTGGGTCGTAGGGAGTGCAGTTAGCGAGGATGTTCTGAGTTTTGACCCAGTGACAGTGAGGAAAAGCAATGTATGACAGAAGGGGTTGAGAAAGAGAGCGCCTTAGTGACTTGTTATAGTGCATATTGTTGATGGTACTCACTGCTACCACTGTCATTTGATAGTGAAGGGATTGACATTTGAACATGGATAAGGCTCCAGTTGAGGGGGCAACTGTGTCATGGATGGTGTCAAGCTTCTTTAGTGTTGTTAAAGTTGCACTCATCCAGGCAAGTGGGAAGTATTTGTCCCAATCCTAAATTGTGCCATGTTTGTGCTGGACAGACATTGGGAGACAAGAGGTGAGTTACTCTCTGCAAGAGTTCCTACCCTCCAACCTGCTCTTGTAATCATAGTATTTACATAGTTGACCCAGTCAGTTTCTGGTCCATGGTAAACCCCCAGGATGTTGCTAGTGGGGGATTTAGTGATGGCAATGCCATTGAATCTCAAGGGGTGGTGGTTAGACTCCCTCTTATTGAAGAAGTTCATGGTCTGGAACTTGTGTGGTGAAATGTTACTTGCCACTTGCCAGCTCAAGCCTGGGTATTGTCCAGGTCTTTCTGCATATGGATATGGGTTGCTTTGTTATCTGAGGATTCACGAACGGTGCTGAACATTGTGCACTCATTAGCAACCATCCCCACTTCAGACTTTATGATGAAGAGAAGGTCGTTGATGAAGCAGGTGGGCCTAGAACACTATCCTGAGGAACTCCTGTAGAGATGTCCTGGGTCTGAAGTGATTGGCCTCCAACATCCATAAGTGTCTTCTTTTGTGCCAGGTATGATTTCAAACAGTGGAGAGTTTTCTCCTTGGTTCCCATTGTCTCTGCTTTTGTTCAGAGTTCTTGATGCCACTTCTGGTGAAATGCTGCCTTAATGTCAAGGCCAGTCCCTTTCACATCACTAGAAGCAGTTTTATGTTCAGGGTAAAGCATGGAAAGTCTGTTCTTTTTTAACATTTCTTAGAGTTGTTTTTTTTTATTTTTCAGACAGATTTTGAAGTTCCATTCTTTGGGCACTGTCTCAATAAGGGAACATAGGTCTTGTTTGCAGACTGGAGAAGAAGGTTCGCCTCTTGAACAGTTAATTAGACAGAACCTCAAGAGTGGAAGCTCTTCCTGCCAAGTGATGTTGACCAAATAGAGACTAGTGGATATACTAAATTGCAGGTCCAGCAGTGAGTGCCATTACAATACCCAGGTGAGGTCTACCATCATTGGTGGATCCCATGCCACAGACAATTGATAGCCTGAGTGGGGTTGTGAGGTGAGGCTCATTGGCCATTGGTGTATTCAGCATGGGCAGGATCTCAGCCAGTACCATGACACTCTGTTGCCATCATGCTGGATTCCTTGATCAGGAACTGAGTGCCTTTGAACGAGGGACCACCACCCACCCCACTCTTGAACCCTGAAAGGAACCCCAACTACACTCCTCACATGGTCAGGCCATGCCTGCTGTTGGGTGAATACCAGGGCAGCAGCTTGATGAAGCCATTCAGTTGATGGCAGGGTGACAAGGCAGTTTATGAAACTTCCCACCACAAACTAAATCTGAGGGAGGCAGGAAACAGTGAGATCCACACCCAATGCCTCCAATTTCAGCTGGTTAAAAGCAACATGCACAGATGCAAGCTTGTACAAACAGGGAGGTTGCCACAAGGAGGAGGGCATTAAATTCCTCCCCGTGTATCTACATAATTTATGTATAACAAAGGTTCTTGAATCAGCTTTACAGATTGAGTTTTCATCGCACCTGGTGTTCTTAGTGTAAATTAAGTTGACTAGCTATGTTTTGAGTCAATAATCCTCTGCTGCTAAAGCTATGATCCGCCAATAAGTCAGCAACGAATTGTGGACAAAGATGAATATTCCGCTAGTCTGGGTGTTCACTTTTAAAATTAAGATCAAATTTGATCTGAACCAAAACTTCAATAAGGGCTTGATGAAATTCAAATGAAAAAGTAGGGTGACGGTTATAAACCAGAATCATTCCTGCTCTGTATGGCTCAGTAGCAATTAGGTGATGAACACTCCCACTGCTCCATGTGTATGAGCTAATAATTTCACTATTTTCCTATTTATGGTTGTATTTTAGATTGATTATGACAGCGCAGAAGAGGAGGCTGGAGATAGTGCAGATGAACCAGAAGAAAAAGAAGATGAAGATTTTTCACGTAGCGAGCAAAATGAAGTCACAGATCAAAACCTTTTGGAATATCCTTGTAATTTTACGAAGATCACCAAAGAAAAGAGGAGAAGAAAGCAGGCTGCCACAGAGACCATGGATGAGCTGAGAGTGAATGCAGTCATGAATTTACATTCTGCTGTTGAAGATTATAAATATGATGCAGCAGACAGTCTTTGGTGTGAGGTAAGATCAGAAGCTCCTACAGGAAAACGTAGTAGAGGTTTATAAAATCATGAGTAGCATGGATAGGATGAATAGCCAAGAACTTTTTCCCAGGGTAGGGGAGTCCAAAACTCGAGGGCATAGGTTTAAATGAGAGGTGAAAGCTATAAAAGGGACCTGAGGGGCAACTTTTTCACGCAGAGAGTGGTGCGTGTATAGAATGAGCTGCCAGAGGAAATGGTGGACGCTGGTACAATTTAAAGAGGATCTTGATGGGTACATGATTAGGAAGGGTTTAAAGGGATATGGGCCAAATGCTGTCAAATAGGACTAGATTAATTTAGGGTATCTGGTTGGCATGGACGAGTTGGACCACATGGTCTGTTTCTGTGCTGTACATTCTTTGACTCTATAGAAAATGCAAAAAATTAACTTGTTTTTTATAAAAATGGATTTCGTTCAAAGATTTTCTTTTGTATAGTCAGTCTTCAACCAATACAATAGCTATTGTTATGAGCGGTTGTGATAGATTGCGGATGGGAAAGGGTGGTGAAATCAAGATGAGTAGAATGGAAAATATTTCAACAATTACTGCAATGTACTGTCAATTATTACTGGTTTGGCATCTGCAATGGCACTGTATTTGTTCAGTAAAGCAACAATAAGTTGTGTTCATAGGCTGTTTAATAAAGCAAAACATCTTAAATCACTTCACAGCAGCATTGTTTAATAGATCCTGATACCAAGCCACATAAGGAATTGATAAAATAGATGGCCAGAACCTTGATCATAAAAGCTTATTATAAGAAACATCTTCCAGGAGGAAAGAGGAGTGGCAAGGTAGAGATATAGTGAGGGTATTCCAGAGTTTAGACATAACAAAAGTAGATTGACTAAAGCCTGGGATGCTCAGGACAACCAGATAGAGGTTGCCACAGGTATCTTGAAGGCTTTTCGGCTGCAGGAGATTGAGATAGGGAAGATGAAGGCTATAAAGAGGGATTTGAAAACAAGGATGATAATTTTAATATCAAGACTTTGCATGACTGGGATCCAATGTAGGGTCAGTGGCCAAACAAGTGATAGTGGAACAGGACGTTAGGGCATGGGCAGCAGAGTTTTGGATAACCTCATGATTATGGAGGGTGGTAGCTGGAAGGCCAGCAGGAGTACAATGGAACACTCAGGTATAGAAATAACCAGGATTTCTGGAGCAGAGTCAGGTGATGTTACGATGGTGGAAATAGGCCATCTTGGTAATGGTATGATCAGAAGCTCAGATTGTGAACAGTTTGATTCAGCTTCAGCCAGTTACAGCAATGGAATTCACAGCTAGAGAATGGAGTTTGTGGTGGAAACTAAGGTCAGTATTTTGGTCTTCCCAATACTTACTTGGAGGAGCTTTCTGCTCATCCAGTACTCGTTTATTGGACAAACAGTCCAATTTAGATAGTGAGCTTACAATTTATTGGTAGCAGCAAGTTAACATACATCTTCCATGATTTGATTCCCATTAGGACTTCAGACATCTGTGAATTTGTGAACATTCTTGCTGCTGACTATTGAGTGCCCAGTTACAGATGTGGAAGTGCTGCAACAGCATTTTTAAATCCATGAAACATTGACTACTTTAGTCAAAATTGACAGTAGAAAATAATGGAACAAACTATTCTCAAACTGTCTTGCCATTCAACTTTGTCAAATTTTTTTTATGACTAAAGGGTTTCTTGAAGTTAAGTTTGCACTTTGTTGCTGAAGTGGATTGTGTAGCTGGCAACCCCTGAAGGCTTGCTGTGCAGTGGATTAGGGCACCTGGCTGCTAGACTTTCCCAGCTTTGACACTCCATTCCCATTCCCAAAAGCAACCCTCTAACACCTAAGACATGGGTAATTTGTATAAAGGAGGGAAGTGCTCATTTTATTTGAGCTCTCCCCGGGTCTCAACCCTAATGATTCAGAGATTTCAGTGTGGTACCTTATTGCTCTTTTGAGTGAGATGGGCAGGGAATCGTGCTTAAAAATTGTAGACTTTTACCTTTCACAAAGAAGCCATTTTCCAGCAACCACTTTGTTCACGGCAATTCATTGCCACTGGGTGTAGAATTTTCAGCCCCACATCTGTAATGGCAGCAGCAGGCAGAATTGGTATGATTCCTGGTGGCTCATGTCACCCTAACCTTGTCATTTGACTGATGCATTGATGAAAGAATGTCCCTTTTTAGGCCAAATAAAAATGCAGAGACGTGGTTCTACGTATGATTTTTCCCTGCAGTTGATATTGGAAACACTTCTGGACTTTGCTGCCTTCCTTGGCTTTCTCTCACACCTTCTCAAATGATCAGGTTAAAATCAGAATCCATGCCAGAAGACAACAGAATCAAGGCAAGCAAGTCCATGATCCATTGGAAGTCCTTGCTCTGATTTCTGCTCAGCGGTTTTGGTTAACATGGTCCTTAAAGGAGTGACGTTAGAGTGTGCAGACCACAAGACTCCACAATCTGCTACCCAGTAACAGTGTCTTTAATAGATCTCCATTATCCAATAGCTACAACCATGTTTCAGCTTGCAAACCTAGATATCATTATCATCTGTGGTTCTTATAATCCAATTCTTTTTGAATTTTGTTGGGTTGGAGTTATGAAAATTGTTCTTGACTCATTGGTGGAGAACTCTTACCAAGATCTGTTAGTATCTATGTCTTGGGGAAACATGAGTGGAAACATGACTTTTAATCATAGAACCCCTACAGTGTGGAAACAGGCCCTTTGGCCCAACAAGTCCACACCGTCCTTTGGAGCATCCCACCCAGACCCATCCCCCTATAACGCACCTAATCTACACATCCCTGAACACTTTGAACGTTATATGTGACCTGTGAGGCTTCATACACCCATATGTCCCACAAAGGGAAAACACAGCATTATTAAACATGTTAATGCAATATCCATGATTGCATTTAAAGTTAGTTTAAAATTGAATTTTAATAAAATTAATAGGCAGGAAGAAAATTTAGTCTTTTTATGTATGTGAACAACTGCTTTTGGGCCAGTAATATTTGTGTCAATGCTAACTCTGAATTAGTAATTAAAAGATGCTCTTCTTTTGTTGAAACATTCAATTAAATTAAATTCCAATAATTAAGTATTTGTCCTGCAGGTTAACATGAAGCTTCCCGTTATGAAAGTGCACTTTGACCTGTCCTCGTTGGTGATGTCAATAGCACAAAACGCAGTTGTCTATGAAACTAGAGGAATCACCCGTTGCCTCTTAAATGAAACAACCAACAGAAGAGGAGAGAAGGAATCGGTTTTGAACACAGAGGGAGTAAATTTCACTGAAATGTTCAAATATGGTGATGTAAGTGCAATGTCTTGTCTGGCACTATTGTAACTTGGAAAGGGACAGGTAAAACTGGTTCAGGTGTAGCTGCATTTGAACTTAAGAATTGTTAGTAAGTATTACAAAATGATAACCTACCTTTCTTCTTCAACCCTGCTGTCCTACTACTACTAGCAATTTGAAATCCGCCAGTATCTCTAGCTCCTGATTTAAGCTTGTAACTCTGTTTTGCTGTATGCTCATACCTAGGATAAGGCGGCTGCCATTGATCAACTTCAGGCAGATAGCAATGCCTGGAAGTTAACTTTGCAAGAAACCTTTATTAGAGCAGGATATTTCAACCATTCTCTTAACATCTGAATGGCATTTCTTGGGGATGGTGCTAAACATTATTGAGGTTTTTAAATTGGTTTGATTTTGCCATTTTTAATATAAAGTGTTATAATACTAGACTAAAACAAAACGCTGAAAAACAAACCAGAAAAATAGTCACTTGGTAGTACATAACATGCAAATTGCTGAAAAAAGTCACTGTTTTTTTCAAGAGAGATAGTAGGAATTGCCGATGCTGGAGTCTGAGATAACAAGGTGTCGAGCTGGATGAACACAGAAGGCCAGGCAGCATCAGAGGAGCAGGAAAGCTGATGTTTCGGGTCTGGACCCTTCTTCAGAAATGGGGGAATGGAAGGGGACTCTGAAATAAACAGAGAGAGGTAGAGGCGATGATGGAAAGTGGATAGGGGAGCAGATAGGTGGAGAGAAGACGGACAGGTCGAGGAGGCGGGGATGGAGCCAGTAAAGGTGAGTGTACGTAGGGAGTTGGGATGGGGGTTGGTCATTTAGGAGGGAGGGGTGGGTAGGTGGGAGGGAAGACGGACAGGTCAAGGAGGTGGGGATGAGGTCAGGGGTGGGGAGATTTTGAAGCTTGTGAAGTCCACATTGAAACCATTGGGCTGCAGGGTTCCCAAGTGGAATATGAGGTGCTGTTCCTCCAGCCTTCGGGTGGCATCATTGTGGCACTGGAGGAGGCCGAGGATGGACATGTCTCCCAAGGAGTGGGAGGCGGAGTTGAAGTGGTTTGCGACTGGGAGGTGTAGTCGTTTGTCACGAATTGAGCTTTTCTTCAAGCTTTTCATCTTGCACTCGTCAGGATGTTTCACATGAATGCAAATTCAGGGGGAAAATCAACATGCATACTGCATAGTGGAGATTGCTGATTGATTGGCAAGTGGACTCTGCAGAGTTATTGTCATGGAGAATCCTCCCATTAATGCCCATTGACAATTAACAGCCAGGCTTTGTTGAATTTAACTCAGGTTATCTCTTGATGAGGGCAGTGTTCTGTGAAATGAAAGTGAATGGCTATCACCTGTTTTGCTAGTTGAAACGTGTTTCTTTCTGCAAAGAGTAGGACCCCCTGTGTTCAAATATTTTGTTTTCAGTACATGCAAGTGCACCAAATTGTGAGCCCAGCTGATTATGGTTACACCTCTAACAATCAGATTTCACTTGTCAACCAATCAACGCTCTCCTCTTATGCAGTTTATAGTTAGTTTTCCTAAGAATTTCTATTCTTCAAGAAGAAATGCTTCAACAAAATGTGTTTGTTTTAATAACAAACCCTCCAGAAAAACAATTGATTTCTGCCCAGTTCCTGATGAAAGTTGGTCGCTGTTAACTCACGTTTTAAAAAAAACGTCAGAACTAGGAGCAAGAGTAGGCAATTCAGCCCTTCAGACCTGCTCACCATTTAACATGATCATGGCTGATCACCTTAAGACCATAAATATAGGAGCAGAATTAGGCCATTTTGTCCATTGAGTCTGCTCCACATTCAATTGTGACTGATATGTTTCTCAACCCCATTGTTCTCCCTTCTCCCCGTAACCTTTGATCCCCTTACTAATCAAGAAAATGTCCACCTCTGGCTTAAATACACTCAATGACTTGGCCTCCACAGCCTTCTGTGGCAATGAGTTCCACAGATTCACCACCCTCTGGCTGAAGGAGTTCCTCCTCATCTCAGGATGTGCCCTCAGGTCCTAGTCCGTCTGACTAGTGGAAACAGCTTCTCCACATCCATTCTATTTCAGGCCTTGTCTCTACCTCAACTCCACTTCCCCACCTTCCCCCAGTAACCCTTTGACCCATTACTTATTAAAAAAAAATCTGTCAGTCTCCTCCTCAAAGAACTCTAGCGAATTAATCAAGCATGATATAACCTTCATTAAGCCGTGCTATGCATTGTGTTTCCAAATGGACTATCCTATTTCCTTTATAATGGATTCCAACAATTTCCTAATGACAAATATTACACTAACTGGTTGGTTTTTGCCTCTCTCCCTTTTTGAACAAAGGGGTTACATTAGCATTTTTCCAATCCGCTGGAACTTCTCCAGAATCCAGGGAATTTTGGAATATTATCATCAACGCATCCACTGGCTACAGAGAACAATGTCTACTCACCTTACTGTAATATCCACAATTATGATTAAGTTTCTCCTTTCTTCCCCCACTTGAATGGCACTCTCAGCCGCAGAGCTATGGTCAGTTTGTTCATCCTCCCTACAGACCCTGCTCTCAACCACACAAAGCAAGAATCTTGAATCTGTTGGACATGGACTGAGAATCCTACAGTGCTACCTTCTGGACCCTTCTAGCTGCCTAATTTGTAGTCACACCTTCCTGTCCCTGATCATTGACCAAATTCGAGGTAATTAATCTAAGGGAGTGTGACTGCCTCCTGAAAGACAGTGACCAGGTAATTCCCTTTCCCTGATATGTAGCACCATTCAAAGCTTAGATACCAGCTTGTCATCTCTGAGCTTCTGCGCTTCTGAGCCTCTACAACTGACGGACTAGGCAGAGATTGTGCTAAAATGAGCCTGGACATAGCTGCTAATCGCCTTGGTGCAATTGATGCAACAAGCAATGTGGTTTGCACCTTTGTCAGTTATTTATCCTTTCTTATACATGCATGCTGACTCTGTCACAGTGTGGTCTTTCTTAGGCCAAAAATGTATTAGCATTCATGTGGTGGGAGGTAAATGTAGAAACGAACCGTATCAAAAAAAAAGTTGGATGCATACTTGTTTTTTCAAAGGTCACATTGGGCTGAGTGACCTATTTTTGTGCTGTAGGCATCCATGATCTTATAATAAAGCTGGAAGAAGTGTTATCTTTCCATAGCCTGACATGGAAATAATTGAATAGCTTTAACAAAGAGCAACCACATTAGGATGAATAGGACATTTGTACGCTGGATCACCCTTTCACAGTTCAGAAACTATTTCAATGACTAATTGTAATAGCCCTCTCTGATAACGTAATGTGTTATACAGTGCTGTGGCCTTTTCAGAGAAATGGCTTTTTGTTTTTTGCTTTCTAATTTTTAATATATCCCCAGTGACTGAATGAACTCACGGTTGAGAACTGTAATGTTCTCGTGTTTTTTTTCCTGGTTCTTGCTTTGACATTCTCCCAAAGCACCAGAGTTGTTCAATTCTGTAATGCTAATAGATTGTCATTATTTTCAGAAAAGTATAGTTTTGTTTTTGTGTCCTATTACAATATCTTTGTTAGTAACCACATGGAGAAAGATTGCAGAATGCTGCAGTGCAGAAGAATCTACACATGAGCACCCTCCTCCTCGCGTTGTCAACAATTTTGATTTTCCAGCCCTCTTCAGTTCTGAGAGTTATACTGGACTCTTTGAGCGGATGACGAGGGTGCTCATGGTAACAGCAACATACAGTAGATGTAGACATGTTAAAAGGTCAGCTCTTCTGAGAACTAACCCATGCAGTCAAAACATGTGAGGGGGATGTCATCAAAGTGGAGAGCAGTTCTCATGATCGGAAGTGGTTAAACTCAGTGTTGAGTCAAAGAGCCGGTGCACCAAACCACTAACTCTGTTACTCCACAGATGCAGCCAGGCGTACTGAGATTCTCCAGAATTTGTTGATTTTATTTTCTAATCTTTTGCGGTTCATTAACAAGGATGTGTAGATTCTTCTGCACGGCAGCATTCTGCAGGCTTTCTCCATGTAGTTACTAACAAAGATATTGTAATAGGACACAATAAAACTATATTTTTCTGAAAATAATGACAATTTATCAAATTTACACAGCTGGAGCACTTTAGCAGGCCTTGAACAGAAATGTTAGCATGAGAGCAAGATGGTGTATTGAAATGGCAAGCAACTGGAAGTTTGGGGTCATTCTCACACACAGTGTGGCAGTCTCCAGTCTGTATTTAACCTTGCCAGTGTAGAGGAAGCTGAATTCAGAGCAGCAAATACAGTAGACAAGAAGTACAAGTAAATGTCTACTTCAACAAGGAGCTGTGTTTGAAGCGTTTGGCAGTGAGGAGGTAAAGGGGTAAGTGTTACGCCTTTTGTGATTGCATGGGAAGGTGCCATGAGGGGTTGAGGATATCATAGGAGTGAAGGAGGAGTTGACTGTGGTATCACAGAGGGATGCTGACAAGGGAAAGGAGGAGGAAATGTGTTTTCTTGTGGCATCCCACTGGAGGTTGCAGAGGATGATCCTTTGAATGTAGAGGCTGGTGAGGTGAAAAGTGAAGACAAAGAGACTTGTATCATTTTTGTGCGGGGGGCGCAGAATTACTGGAATAAGGTCATATACAGCTGAGGGTGCTGTCAACAATGTTGGGGTGGGGAATGGGATTCCTTATTTAAGGTGAAAAGAAGACATGTCGAAAGCACCCCTGTGGATAGTTACATCATTGAAACAGGTGCTATGGAGAGTCAAGAAACTGGGTAAATGGATTGAAGTTTTTACAGGAAGCATTTTGTGAGGAAACGTAGTCAAGGCAACTGTGAGATTGGTGGGTTTGTAATGGATATTGATGAGCATCCTATCCTCCAGAAATGGCAATGGAGAAGTCAAGGAAAGGGAGGGAAGAGATGAACCAGGTGAAGGTGAGACAAAGATTGAAATTGGAAGTAAAACTGATTAATTTTTCCAGTTCTGAATGGGAACAAAAAGCAGCCCCAGTAATGTCACCAATATACTGGTGAAAGTTCTGGGTGGGGGCCCAAGTAGGCTTGGAATAAGGAATGTTTGCCATACCTGCAAAGAGATGGGCACAACTGGGACTCATGCATGTTCATGGAGAAAGTGAGACGAGAAAAAGAAATTGATCAAAGTGAGGACAAATTCAGTCAGATAAAAAAGGAAGGATGGTGATGAATGGAACTGTTCAGGCCCATTTTCAGGGAAAAAGAGTGGAGCCTTCAATCCATGCTGATGGGATGCAGGTATAGAGAGATTTCATGTCCATAGTGAAAAGGAGATGACTGGGTCAGGGAAATGGAAATTGTGGAACTGAGGTAAACCTTTAGAGGAATCATGAATGTGAGTGGACAGAGACTCTACAAGGTGGGGAAATATGGTTAGGATAGGAGGAAATAAGTTCAGCTTGTTCCTTCCCAACTGAAACAATAGGTATGCCTCAGCAGTCCTTTTTTGTGGACTTTGGGAAGAAGGTAGACGTGAGGGGTTGGGGGTCTAATAGGTGGGAAGCTGTGATGGGAAGTCTCCAAAGGAAATGAGGTCAGTGACAGTCCTGGAAACACAACTTGATGCTCAGTGATGGGGTCATGGTCCAGAGGAAGATAGGAGGAGGTGTTTGCAGTTGATGCTGAGCCTCTATAAGGTGGAGATCGACATGCCATATGACAACAATACCACCCTTTTTGTTGGTTTGATAACAAAGTCAGGGTTAGACCTAAAAGAAGGGAGTGAGGCAAGTTCGGAGAGAAGCAATTTAGAATAGGTGAAGAGAACAGAGAAATTAATGCAGGTAATATCATGTTAACTGTTCTTGCTGAAGAGATCAAATGCACATATGAAGGCAAGGAGCAGTCCAGGTGAAAGGTGGAGAGGCCTTCTAACCCTAGAAGTGGGCACAGAGGTGAAGGCGATAGAAGAAGAGTGCAATGTCATGCCATGCCCAAAATTTATTGAGACAAGGGTGTAAAGGATAAAACAGAGTTCTTAGCTAACCACTAATTGTTTAGCAGAAGAGAATGGAAGGTCAGTGAGTATGGTGAATACTCGACAAGACTGGGATTTAAAGAAGGAATGGAATTGGAGGGAAAGAGATGGAGGAAGAATCCAGAGGGGCTGTTGAAGTGACCTAGCAAGACGTAGAGAAACTAGAAACAATAAATGTGGCTTTTCCAGTCTCACCTACTTCCGATATACAAAACATAGCCAAATAAATTTAGTTTAACATTTTGACAGAGTGTGACCTCACTACAAGTCTCCCCCATCCCCCTTCATCTGACAGGCCTTTGAATCCTGTGAAATCTTATGTATGTGTAAATAAGGATGGCAGATTAAAAAGGACAAAGCGTGATCATTTAATAGTTGGTTGTATCATGGTGAGAATAAATTGAATTTCAGGTTTCTGGGCTGTCAGTCATGTTCTCTGACTCCTTTTGTTTCCCTCCATTTAGACTTTGGACCTCAATCGCTTGTATTCAAATGACATCCATGCCTTTGCCAACACATACGGTATTGAAGCTGCTCTAAGAGTCATAGAGAAAGAAATAAAAGATGTTTTTTCTGTATATGGTAAGCCTACTTTTTCTCCACTATTATGGCCCAGTGATGATAAAGGAATGGCAATACATTTTCCAAGTCAGGATGGTGTGTGACCTATAGATTGTGGTGTCACCATGCACTTGATGCCATTATTTTTCCAGGTGATAGAGGTTGTGGGTTTTAGAAGGTGATGTTGGTGAGTTGCTGCAATTCCCAATGTAGATGGTATAAACTGCTGCCATTGCGTACCAGTGATGGGGTGAATTGAATACTCAAGATAATGAATGTATGCTTGTCAAGTGGGCAGCTTTGTCCTAGAGTGGGTCTTTGCCAACTATTGATGAAACTGTTCACTGGTTTGTTCGTTTGGGATAATGCTGCAGTTCTATTCATGTGTTATAAAAATGTGTCTGTAACAGTAAAATTGATGTACAAAACTATTGTTTTGTTGAACAGAATTCAGTACTGTTGAATGCCATCCATGTATGATGTTTACCAAAAAGATATTAGATGAAATTATGTCACCCTGAACTTAAAATATCCTGACAAATGGCCATCACTTCTTGACAAAGCAATGAAACAGCTATTTAGCCCTTCTCGTCTATGCTGCTGTTTTGGTGGATCATGGTGATGCTGCTTTCGGCATAATTTGCCTTTGTTCCAAATCCCATACCTGGCAAAAAAGATACTGGAGTTATAGAATCGTACAGCACAGAAGAGGTCCTTTGTCTCAATAAGTCTGTGCCGATCTACCTACACTAATCCCACTTTTCAGCACTTGGCCCATAGCCTTGCTTCTTATAACATTTCAAGTGCTCATCAACATACTTTTTAAAGGTTGAGGTTTCCCGCCTCCAGTCATTTAAACAGCCTTCTACCACCACCCTCTGTCTCATACCACTAAGCTAATTTTGGATTCATTTTACCAAGCTGCTCTGGACATTAAGTGCTTTCTCCTTCATTATGTGACTCCCATGACCTCCTTCTGACAAAGTCACCTGTGTCTGATCAAACCTTGCCTCTCCAACTGGATATTATTTCTCTCCTTTGCAATGTTTTCCAGTAGTTTCCACTGATGTGAGACTCGCTGATCTGAAATTCCCTGGTTTATCCCTACCACCCTTCTTGAAAAGTGATCCCATATTAGCTGTCCTCTATTCCTCTGGCCCTTCCCTTGTGGCCAGAGAGAAATTAAAAATGTGGGTCAGGGCCCAGTATATTTCTCCCTCATCGTCTGCAGAGCCTGGAATGCAATTCATTTGGACCTGGGGATTTATCCACTTTTAAGTCTGTCAAAGCTTCCAATACATCCTCACTCCCTATTTTAATCTGCTGAAGGACCTCACAGTCCCTCTACCTGAATTCTATACCTACATTCTCCTCCTTGAAAGTCAAGACAGATGTGAAGTACTTGTTTAACACACCACCAATTCCTCTTGCTCTGCATTCAAATTGCCCCCTTCATCCCAATGGGCCTAAACTTTCCCTGGTTGTCCTCTGCTCCTTGAATATCTTGGGATTCTCCTGAATTTTACCTGCCAGTGTGTTTTCTTAAGATGCCCCCCTGCACTTTCTATACTCCACTTGGACCTCCATTGATCCTTATCCAGTTCTGAATATTCCTAGACGTCCTATATTTCACCCTAAAGGGAATGTATGGGCCTGTACTGTCCCCATTTCCTTTTGAACATCTCTTGAGATGTTGATCTCAGCCTCGAGAAAAGGGAGGCTGTTTCACATTTCCGTTACCCTCTGCACAAAATGGTATATCTGATTTCTACTTTTAAATGTTCTGGCTGAAAGTGGATACTGTGCCCCTTTATTCTGGATCCCTCGACCAAGGAAATACTTCTCCCTGTGTCTCATTCTTTAAATCGTGTTATCGTTTGAAAGATGCCAACAATAGAATGTTATTTTGATGTAGCATCTACTGTTAATGAATTTTTCCTGGCAATCATTCAATGCACTCTTCAAGGCGTAGTAGTTTCCCCAAGAGAATTTACTGGAAACAAGCTGAGTCTCTTGGGTGGACTTCTACAGTGGCTTATATATTTCAGACACAATCACTGTCAGTTACTTCGAGAGAAATAAATGCAGCAGAATTATCATCTGGTACAATTGTAGGGGAGGCGATGGGCTAGTGGTATTATCGCTGGACTGTAATCCAGAGACCCAGATAATGTTCTGGGGACCTGGGATCAAATCTCGCCATGGCAGATGGTGGAATTTGAATTCAGTAAAATATCTGGAATTAAGAATCTAATTATGACCATGAATCCATTGTCGATTGTCAGAAAAAAACGTCTGGTTTACTAATATCCTTTAGGGAGGGAAATTTCCATCCTTAACTGGCCTACATGTAACTCCAGACCCACAGCAATATGCTTGACTCTGAACTGCCCTCTGGGCAATTAGGGATGGGCAATAAATGCTGCCTGACCAGCGATGCCCTCATCCAGTTAATGAATAAAAAATAATTGTTACTGGAAGATAGTGTTACCTGTTGAGTACAACAGGTGTAGTTCTACAATTACCATCTCCTGATACTGTGCCTTTAGACTACATTCATAAGTAGGAGTCAAATTGATGAGTAATGATCAAGCAACTGTACTGCCAGTGAGAGAGGAAAATCTTGCACTTATATAGTACCTCTCACACCCTCAGGTTCTCCCAAAGCATTTTGCAGTAAATGAAGTATTTTTCAAGTGTAGTTTCTATTGTGGTGTGGAAAACGCAACAGCCAATCTGCATACAGAAAGCTTCCATAAACATCAATTTGATAATTACTCAGTCTGCTTTAGTGAGGCTAGTTGATTGATAAATGTTGACAAGCAATAACTCCTTATTCTTTGAAGTGGGATCCTTTCCCACTGCCTGAAAGACCAGATAAGCCATGGTTTAATGTCTCCTTTGAAAGACTAAGGGATATTGGATACTGCCTACTCGGTTCTGCATTGATGTGTTATCCCAGAATATGTGGTATTTCACAGTGAATTATATAACACATTATACCTCAAGTTGATAATCAAGTTTTATGTTTCGACTCCATATAATTTACAAATTGACATTTTAATAACTTGAATGGGAAATAACTGTTTTCCTAACACAATTTTTCTTAAGTAAAAGATCTATTTCAAAAACAGCTGACAGGGTAACATTGTTATTTAAATGCGTTGAAGCTTTAAAACACTTTGCCGTAGATGTTGGGCAGGATTTCTCTTTTAATACATTCATGTGATTTGGGTATTGCTGGCTGGGCCTTGGTAAATTTTAGCAATGTATCTTGTAGATGGTACTCACGATGCTACTGTGTGTCGATGGGGAAGGGAGTGAGGTTTGTGGATTTGAACAAAAAAACAAAGAACAAAGAAAATTACAGCGCAGGAACAGGCCCTTCGGCCCTCCAAGCTTGCGCCGATCCAGATCCTCTATCTAAACCTGTTGCCTATTTTCCAAGGATCTGTATCCTTCTGCTCCCTGCCCATTCATGTGTCTGTCTAGATACATCTTAAATGACGCTATTGTGCCCGCCTCTACCACCTCCGCTGGCAACGCGTTCCAGGCATCCACCACCGTCTGCGTAAAGAACTTTGCACGCATATCTCCCTTAAACTTTTACCCTCACCTTGAAATAGTGCCCCTAGTAATTGAGTCCCCCACTCTGGGGGGAAAAAGCTTCTTGCTATCCACCCTGTCTATACCTCTCATGGTTTTGTAGACCTCAATCAGGTCCCCCCTCAACCTCCGTCTTTCTAATGTAAATAATCCTAATCTACTCAACCTCTCTTCATAGCTAGCACCCTCCATACCAGGTAACATCCTGGTGGACCTCCTCTGCACCCTCTCCAAAACATCCACATCCTTTTGGTAATGTGGTGACCAGAACTGTACGCAGTATTCCAAATGTGGTCCAACCAAAGTCCTATACAACTGTAACATGACCTGCCAACTCTTGTACTCAATACCCCGTCCAATGAATGAAAGCATGCCGTATGCCTTCTTGACCACTCTATCCACCTGCGTTGCCACCTTCAGGGTACAATGGACCTGAACACCCAGATCTTTGTGTATCAATTTTCCCCAGGGCTTTTCCATTTACCGTATAGTTCGCTCTTGAACTGGTGCCAATCAAACAGGCTCCTTTTGAAGCATCTGTGGATATACTACCAATAGTGAACTGGTATATGGGTTATGGACTTAGCTTGCCAAAGTGTCCAATTGCTAAGTTTGCCATGGAGGGTTAGGCCACAGCTGGAGTTTTATGTGTAGTTCTGGTCACCATATTCCAGGATGATACATTACATAGTTGCTCAAGGAAAATTTTTAAGAATGTTCCCAAGGCATGAAAATTGCAGGTTTGATGAAAGATTTCATAATCTATGGTTGTTTTCTTAGAGCAGAGAAGGTTGACGGCTAGCTTAATCAAGATTAATGATACAAAATAATGACAGCTTGATTGGGTGGACAAGAAAACATGTTTTCTGTAGCAGAAAATCCAGTTACCAGGAAGCACAGATTTAAGATGACTGATAGGGGATTAAAGGGGGCATGGGCATGATGCAGATAGTGTTAGGTGTCTCAGGGCGTCAGTTAACTCAGTTGGTTTGATGGTTGGTTTTCAATGCAGTGTAATGCCAACTGCCTGGGTTGGATTCTCACACCAGCTGACTTCCCTTCTCAATCCCTCCCCTCGCCTGAGGTGTAGTGACCATTAAGTTAAACCACCTCCAGTTGTGTGTGTCTCTAATGAGTGAGCAGCCCTCTGGTCTGATAAGACGATGGTAACTTTAGTTTTTGGGTGTCTGGAACTCGCTGCCTAGGTTAGTAATTGAACCTGAAACCATTAACTCATTTAAAAGGATCCTGGATTGACACTTGAGATGCTGTAATGAGCAACGCTATAAACCAGCTACTGGTAAGTGGGATTAGAATGGGCAGCAAGCTTTCTTAGCCGGTACAGACATGATGAGTTGAATGTCCTCTTTACGTGCTGTAATTTTTGTACACTTCTGTGGTTACTTAGTTCCAAATGACCTCTACCAAACATTTATGTTGGAATCAGCTCAAACCGAAAGAGACGCTGCTAAACATACTTTATTGTTTTTGCTGCACTGCCCTGAGAGGGCTTCCCCTGAACCATCACCTGCTTCTCTCTTGAAATTATAATAACTTGTTGGGTATAAATCAACTGATTAGAATGAATTTGGGCCCTTGATGGGTGGACCTCAAGTGTGAGAGGACTCCTAACCTCCTTCTCCCCACCAAAGGTATCTCCATCATACGATGCATAAGTACATTCCCTGATCAAACATGAAAATGCCATCTGCCAATGATTCCAGCATTTGGAGATGGGAAGCTTCCATTGCAGCTGCCAACCCCTCTGCAGTCAATTGTAATAGGCAGTGGTATAAATGAGTACAGTTATTTGTACCACCTCAAGCCCTGTTTAGGAGCGATGTTTAGGAATTTGTCAATGATTTTTTTTTAATTTGTTCACAGGCTGAGGGTGTTGCTGGCTAGGGCAGCATTTATTGCCCATCCCAGAGGGTAGTTATGAGTCAACCTCATTGCTCTGGGTCTGAGGTCATCTGTACTAATGCACAATAGACAAACTTCCTCAAAATCCCACATCCTTTGCTAAACTGTTGTTAATCAGCACCATTTACTGACCAGTCCGGAACTCTGTAACAAATACATTTGCAGGATCTGGACACATCTTGACTAACAACCTGAAATCAAAGCCAATCTGAAAAAATTGGTGCAGTGTGTTATAAACAGAAAATGCCCAGTAAACCAGGTTGTAGGCTAGACCAGGTAAGGCAGTTTCCTTCCGTAAAGGACATTAGTGAACCAGATGAGTTTTTCCTGATAATCGGCAATGGATTTGTGGTCATCATTTGACTCTTTATTCCAGATTTTTATTGAACTCAAATTTCACTATCTGCCATGCAGAATTTGAACTTGTATCAGCCAGAACATTACCTGGGTGTCTGGCTTAGCAGTCCAGCAATAAGACCGTGAGGCTATCACCTCCCCTTTTAGTCTTTGCCAGAAGTTGGGTTTTGCAAATGCGGCATTCAGTTCTTTGTAAGCAGCCGAGTTCACTGGGCATTTTCTGTTTACAACACACTGCACCAGTTTTTTCAGGTTGGCCTTAATTTCAGGTTGTTAGTCAAGATGTGTCCAGATCCTGCAAATGCATTCATTGCAGAGTTCCGGACCGGTCAGTAAATGGTACTGATGAACAACAGTTTATCAAAGGACGTGCAATTTTGAAGAAGTTTGTCTATTGTGCATTAGTACAGATGAATGCAGCCCACTGATTTGGTTCATTTCCTTAATCACCCTCTTGGTCTCATGATGTGCTGCATCATCAGCTATTTTTGTAACAGCTTTCCTTTCACTTGCGCGGACTTCAAGTATTGTCGAAAAGGAGCTCTTTTTTTGCCACAAAATGCTGTTAATTTGCCAGGGTGTTACTTAGAATTCAGGAATACTGTCCCTAGTCATGAGGCCCAAACAGTTCTGCTACCCAATGATGATCCATTATTGCGATGCTGTCCTAACGGTGAACTGGATGCTTGGTATCATTGATTGTATTCAATATTTTTAATGAGTGAAACATATTTTCTTTGTCCTCTCTTTTTCTCTCTCTCTCGCTGTTGTTTATGTAGGCATTGAAGTGGATCCTCGCCATCTTTCTCTTGTGGCAGATTACATGTGTTTTGATGGTTCATACAAGCCATTTAATCGAATTGGCATGCAGTCAAGCTCTTCACCCCTTCAGCAGATGACCTTTGAAACCAGCTATAAGTTCTTAAAACATGCAGCTATGCTTGGTAAGAAAGATTTTGTTAACACTTTTTGTTTCATTTCCATTTTAACTTGACCAAGTATCCTTCACGTGAGTAGAGTAACATTTTGAATCCCATACCATTTGGACGATACATTGAGGGTGACAAGGGCGCAGAATGGACTGCAAGTGGGGCATCGCTGATGTCAATCACCAGAAGCAGCTCCATAGCATCAACCGAGCTGGCTGACTCTATGAAAGGCCAACGTACCAATTGTTGACTCACCTTATGCTGCACCTGAATGCTTACTTTCAGCAACTGGTGTAAAAGGAGGCTGAGGCCTTGTTGTACCTCCCCTTTCCCAATCTATCACCATTCAGATAATAATCTGACTTCCTTTCTTTGCTACCAAAGTGGATCATCTCACATTTATCCACATCATTCTTAATTTGCTGTGCAATTGTCAACTCACTCAACTTGTCCAAATCACATTGAAGCATTTCTACATCCTCTTCAGAGTCCATCTTCCCACCCATTAACTGTGCCGCTCCATTAACTTGGAAATATTACATTTAATTCCCTCATATAAATCATTAGTATATGTTGTGCACAGGTGTGGTTCATGCACAGATCCCTGCAATATCCCACCTGTCACTGTCTGCAGCCCTTAAAAAAATTTATTTATTCCGACTCTTTGTTTCCTGTCTGCTAGACAGATCTCTGTCCAAGTCAGCACACTACCCCAAATCTCATGCAGTTTATTTTTATATGCTGATCTCTTATGTATGACCTCATCAAAAGTCCAAGTAAAGCACATCAACTGGGTTCCCTTATCACCTCTGCTATTTACATCCTCGAAATATTTCAGTAGATTTGTCAAGCATGATTTCCCTTGTGCAGAAAGAAGATGTCTAATCCAATCACTATTTCCAAGTGCTCTGTTGTTTAATCTTTTTTAATGGCATTTATCTTTTTTAATGGCATTTATCTTTGTTAATGTCATTTATCTTTTATAATAATTATCAAAAAGTATCAAAATATACAAAACAATAATTTTGTAATAATTATCGTTTATAATAGCCTTTTCCTCACTACCAATCACAGGCTAACCATTCGATAATTTCCTGTTTTTTTTCTCTACCCTTTTTAAAATGTTGGGATATAGTAGTTACTTTCCAATCCACACGAATGTAGTAAGATCTGGACAATATCCAGGTTTGGGCTGACAAGTTGCAAATAACATTTGAACCAACTTGTGTTAAGATGCAGAGGATATGAGAAGAATTTTAAATAAAACTTTTGCCTCCATATTTACAGAGGGAAAGGATATAGTAAACCGACAGGAGCATTGTGAAATATTGGACAAAATAATCATAACAAGAGAGAAAGTGTTAGAGGAGTTTGAATCGTTGAAAGTGGCTAAGTTGCCAGGGCCACATGGTTCCCTAGGACATTCAAGGAGTTCAGGGAGGAAATAACAGATACTCTGAGGACTATTTTCAAATCTTCTTGCTTTTAACATCCACCCAGCCAAGTCATCTCAGGATCTTATATACACACTGAGGGACACTGAGAGAAGCAATGGATGGGAGAGTGGGGGGCACTGAGTGGAGCAGAAGGTGGGAGAGCGGAACCTGTCATTATCTTGATTTAACCCACTATCCTTTTTTGTAAAATATAACATATTGGTGGTTTTCTTTGTTATTGCTTTCAATCAAAGCATTCCTCGGAGGAATGGAGTTAGCAAAATTGGTACTAAGATCTTTGCAGCTAAGTAATGCAGGGTTGTCTCATAGGAAATGTTGGGCCTATACTCATTGGAATTTAGAAGAATAAAAGGTGAACTTTTTGATATAAGGAAGGTTTTCAGTAGGGCAGAGAGGGTAAATGCTCAAGGGGACTTTTCCCCTTTTGGAGGAGTTTGGAACTAAGGTTCATAGTTTCAGAATAAGAAGTCTCCCATTTGAGAACATGATGAGGATACGAGACAACAAGGTGCAGGGCTGGATGAACACAGCAGGCCAAGCAGCATCATAGGAGCAGAAAGGCTGACGTTTCGGGCCTAGACCCTTCATCAGAAAAGGGGGAGGGGAAGGGGGTTCTGAAATAAATAGGGAGAGAGTGGGAGGCGGATAGAAGATGGATAGAGGAGCGGATAGGTGGAGAGGAAACAAACAGGTCGAAGAGGCGGGGATGGAGCCAGTAAAGGTGAGTGTGGGGGGGGGGTAGGGGAGGGGATAGGTCAGTCCAGGGAGGACGGACAGGTCAAGGGGGCGGGATGAGGTTAGTCGGTAGGATTGAGGATATTTTTCTTTTGGTGGGTAATTAATCTTTGGAATTCTCCAACCCAGAGAGCAGACTATTGAATAAATTCAAGGCTCCAGTTAGGCAGATTTTTATCTGCACAAGTGTAGGACTACAGGGGATCAGTAGGAAAGTGGATTTAAAGCCACATTTGGATCTTACTGAAAAGTGGAGTCAGCCTGGGGGCTATAGGGCCTACTCCTGCACTTATCTCTTACGTGATATTTGGGCCCAGATTTTAGTCCTGCCAGAGAGGCGCTCCATTGTGGTGAAAATGGTGGCACTGCTCAAATCATAAGTCCTGTCCCTGAACATGGACCTTCCTGTTTTTGTAGCAACAAGGCATCTGCTTTGCAAAGATGACCAGCTGTAGATGTCACATGCTGCCTGCACTGTTCATAGGATTTTGATAACCTTCATACCCAAAGTGTGCAGGTTAGACCGTGTAAGAGTCGTCGTGAACTTAGTCCAGCTGCTTAGATACCCGGGGTACCTATTTGGATTGTGTCCCAAGACAGCTTTGGGGGAGGGCAGCTATACTTTGAGATTGTGAAAAGTAGGATGCGAATGTTTGTAAAGGACCAGTAACCTATTATTATCAGGCTCTTTGGACCCGTCCAAATTATCAAAGCATTTAAAATCCCCACATGTTAAATTTTTGAAAACTTTTAACTGCCATTTTAAAAAGATCATTGCTTGTTATTTCACCCTGACCGCTGTTGCATGACTAATTTCATATCTTCCATTATCACAGTCGGTTTGACAACTTCAAGTGGTTATAGATTCTTTAATATGGAATTATGAATTCCAGTGTTTGTTGTTATAAAGTATTTTGTACTTGATTGAGATATTTGTTGTGCGGCTTTATTTAGTTGAATGATTTTATTAAAAATGTTTTCAATATGGAGGTCTGCAATGCACACTTTGAAATTTATTTAATAGAATTTTATTTTATCTGATCTTCACATGGGAACATTCTTTGTTGGATTGTAGATGAGTTGGCTAGGTAGGTGGAGGGGACAGGACAGACTGAGTTGACATGAGTTGGTACTACATTTGTATAGTGTCTACAAAGAGCCATACAGGACTGGTTAAAGAGGGATATGTTAACATGGAAGCCATAAAGGCTGTGGTGGATGAGTAGAATGGCATAGCTTGACAAGGAGGACATGAAGGGTCATGTGGAGATCGGAGAGGTCTAGGTTACCAAGAAGTGACATAGGTTTGGAAGGAAACAAGGGGAAGTTGCCTCAACTTCTCAATACTTGTTTCGATACTGGATTGTTGTATTTTCCACATTGAATATACCTGAAGAACTAAACATGTAGTTGTATGAATGCCATTACTGATGTAGATTTACCCAACGAGCACCTACTTGCTTAAAATGTCTGACTACAAGTGTGTAAACTGGATATAAATAAGTATCTGAAACATAATTGTAAAATAACTAGTGTTAAGACCTGACAGTGTGCATTTTCAAATCCATTCATTTGAATTTACGGATTGATGCACACATGCCTGGGAATAGAATAAAATGGAGCAGCATCAACAGTGAAGAAATCAATTCTTTTTATGAGTATCCTCAAAGGCTTGTAAATCACAGTGCATTTATAGTACTGTTGTGATTTGTTAATGTTATGAGATTGGTAAGGTTTCTGAGCAATGCTTCCTGTGGACTACTGAATAATCAGGGGCAAAAGGAGGAGAGGAAATCAATATAAGAAGTATCACTATGGTAAAAGTGCTCAGGAAACTAACGGAACCAAATACCAATCAGTCCCCTGGACCTGATGGGATGCATCCTAGGATATTAAAAGAAGTAGCTACAGGGTAGTGCGTGCACTGGGAATAATTGTCCAAGAATCCTTAGATTCTGGAGAAGTCCCCAAGGATTGGAAAATTGCCATTGTAGCACCTTTGTTTGAAAAATGAAGAAGGCCAAAAAAAGGATATTGACCTGTCCGTCCTCCCTGGACTGACCTATCCCCTTCCTAACTCCCTACCTACACTCACCTTTACTGGCTCCATCCCCGCCTCTTCGACCTGTTTGTTTCCTCTCCACCTATCCTCTCCTTTATCCCTCTTCTATCCGCCTCCCACTCTCTCCCTATTTATTTCAAAACCCCCTTCCCCTCCCCCTTTTCTGATGAAGGGTCTAGGCCCGAAACGTCAGCCTCTCTGCTCCTATGATGCTGCTTGGCCTGCTGTGTTCATCCAGCCCTGCACCTTGTTGTCTCGGATTCTCCAGCATCTGCAGTTCCTACTATCTCTAACTAATAGGCCAGTTAGCTTAATGTTTGTTATTGGGAAAGAAGTTCACTTGGCTGATCCCAGGCATGAAGCGACTGTTTTATGAGGAGAGGTTGAGAAAGTTGGGCCTGTATTCTCTGACATTTAGAAGAAAGAGAGGCAACCTTATTGACACAAAAGAGGCTCTTAGGGGACTTGGTAGCAGAGACAGTAGGAACTGCCGATGCTGGAGTCTGAGCTAACACAGTGTAGAGCTGGAGGAACACAGCTGGAACCTTCTCAGACCCGAAACATCAGCTTTCCTGCTCCTCTGATGCTGCCAGGCCTGCTGTATTCATCCAGCTCTACACCTAGGTAGCAGAGGTTATTTTCCCTTGTGGAAGAATCTAGAACCAGAGGGTATAATCTCAGAACAAGGGGGTCACACATTTAAGACAGAGATAAGGAGGAATTACTTTTCTGAGGGTAGTGAATCTATGAAATTCTTTACT